ATTATTTTAAAATTACATCATTTCAATAAATTTTTATTAAAAAATATTAAACTACTTTATTTTTAAAGTATGCATTAAGGTGATTTTTATCTTTTTTTTCTCTTAATTTTTTGAAAAAAAAGTAGAGAAGCACTAATCCTTAAAAAAAACATATATATATATATAGTTTGAATGTAAAAATACTAAAACACTAATAAATTTTATTTAATTAGAACATTTAAATATTTTCACAATTTAGATCGCCTGCAATTTGAAAAATGATATTTCTAATTGTGCAGCACAAAAGCCTTGAAAAGAAAAATCTTCCATCTCGTCGATTTTCTTCATGTTGTTCACTCCAAAAATGGTTAAATGCTTTTGGTTCCTAAATTATTTTCGTCACTTCGCTCCCTCAACTTTACAAATTATAATTTTTTGTTCTTTCGGTCATTAATAGTATTTTTATTGTCAATTTTTAATTATAATATTTTTAAATATTATAATTTAATTAGCCAAAAAAATCTTCTCTTTTTCTTCTCTTTCCTTTCCTCTGCCTCCCCTTAAATTATGCATACCAAGTGCTGATGTGGGAAGAAAGTATGAGAAATTTTTAATTAAAAAAAATTATGATAATTCATTTTAATAATAACTAGAAACATAGAGGTATATATACAATTTTTGTCCTTTTTCCTTATGTAAGTGTGGATTATGTCAATAACAGAAACTAAATGCAATCATTGCCTCATGCTCATCGGTCAGTATCATCATGCAAGTTCTAGGGTTTATATATATTATAAATTGGGGCTTCGACAATTGTAAAAGGGAGACATAAATTGAAACTGTTACTGGAGGGAAATAGAGAGAAATAGTTCAAAATTGGAGTTTGAAAATGATGGCAGGGGATTTTCGGCCCCTAAGAAAGGACCTTTGTAATGTCCAAGGGCCAAACTATAACCTTTTCCAAACCTTACTAGAAACTATAAAAATGGTGAATTCTGCAGAAGGGTAATAAGAGCATAAGATATTGCATAAAAAAAAAAACAGGAAAAAAAAAAAAAAAAACAAAGTAAGAAAAAAGAAAAGAAAAGGAAGAAGATCAAATACATTAATTTATCTGATCTTTAATTTCTCAAATTGATTGTTAAAATGTAATTTGGCTGCAAAGTATACGTACAAGATTGATTGCACACCACACAATCAAATTACTTCAGAAGAATGATAATGTATCATGAGGCTTTTGTAGATGTAAATTAAACTGATGAATGGGGATTGATGGGAGGATAAGGAACTTCAAGAGCTCCTTCTAGCATCTGTAGGACCATCTTCATATTGGGTCTCAGCAATGGATCATCTTGGATGCACCAAATGGCAATCATCACAAACTGCTCTACTCTCTTAATGTCCTCCATTGCCTCTTCATCCTCCTGAACTAGCAGTGGCATTCTCCCTTCTTCATAGCAATCATATGCCCAATTAGCCAATATCTTTTGGTTTTCATCCTCTTCATCTTGCTGAAAACTCCTCCTACAACAAATGAGCTCTAGCAACAGAATTCCAAAGCTATAAACGTCGACCTTGACTGTGACAGGCTTGTTTCTCAACCACCACTCTGGAGCAACATATCCTCTTGTTCCCCTAATTTCTGTAAGAGTTCGTGTCTGGTTTTTCTCCAAAAGTTTTGCTAATCCAAAGTCTGAAATTCTTGCAGTGAAGGAGTC